GCGGGAGGAGGGCGGCCGGCCGGACGCGAAGCGCGGCGCTGCGGGGCTCGGCGCCGCTGCGGGGGGCCAGGGCGGCCGCAGCGGGGCGGGGCGGGAGCCCCGGGAGGCGCCCGAGGCGCGGAGGCCGGCCCCGCCCGGTCCGCCGCCGGCCCGCGGCTCTCGGGAGCGGGGCTCGCCGCCCACCTTCCTCCTCCTACTCCTCCGCCTCTCTGAGATCCCCTCGAGGAAACGAGGGACGGGGAGGAGGGGGCCGCAGCCCGCGCCCGGCGTCCCGGCGGGATCCCAAGCGCCGGGGCGCAGACGGGCGGGACGGGACGGGACGGGACGGGACGGGGCAGCACCGCTGCGGGCCGCCGAGGCCGGGGCCGCCGGCCGGGCCCCTCTATCCCTGGCGGCGCGGCGCCCCCTGGTGCCTCCGCGCGACCCCGAGCACCGCGGGCTGCAGAGATGGGAAGGAGGGAGCGGGTCCCGGGGTTTTGTTCGCGGCTCCGTGTCACCGCCGTGGGCTTTAAAAGTTAGCTACAGCCGCTGCTCGTGTGGGATGTAGGGGCTTGCAGGAGCCGTCCTGTTTCTCCCTCAAGTGATGCCTTTAAAATCGACTTCTGAAAGCTGCGTCAGGAGGACTGCTCACAGTCCTGCCGTCAGCCGTAGGACTCCACAAAGCAATTCTGACGTGTAGAGCAAGATGAGGGCTCTGTTGTCATAAGGTTAATCCAGCCACTGTGGAGTAAGACGTACTAAGCATCAGTCAGCAAAAAGCGCTGAATTTCTGCTGCTCCCGTGGTGCTGCAGCACAGAGAGAATAACACCAAAGAGAAGACGTGGTGCGGTCAGGTCACTGCTTGCAGTGCCCAGTAATCCAACCCATGTCCTTGTGGAGAGAAATCCCAACCTCACCAGTTTTAAACTGTAAAAAGTACTGATGCACAGTGAAACGTGAAATACAGTACCAAGGTCTTGGGCTTCTCTGGAGTAAAACTTGATTTAAGAGGAGGAACAGAGGGCCTTAAGGATGAAGGTGTCAGCAGGGAGGGAGTACTGGAACATCTGTACTGAGAAGCACAATCTCTTTGGCATCTCAGGTTGCTCCCTTCTGAGGTGAAAATGGCAGAGCATGTAGGTGGAAAGTGCTCTTGTTTGCAGCACTGTAAAGCCAGAGCACACTTGGTGACCTGATGGATGTGTTTTATCTGTCCTCCTGTCCAACTTGACCTGTCACCAGGCTTCCCTGAGTTTCATAGAATCATGGAATCATAAAGGTTGGAAAAGACCTCTCAGATCATCTAATCCAACCACCAGCCCATCCCCACCATGCCCACTGACCACATTCCTCAGTGCCACATGCACACAGTACTTGAACACCTCCAGGGATGGTGATGGACACCTCCCTGGGCAGCCTGTGCCGCTGCCTCATCACTCCTTCTGAGAAAAATTTTTTCTAATATCCAACCTGTGCCTCCCCTGTTGCAACTTAAGGCCATTCCTTCTTGTCCCCATTACCTGTCCTCAAACCATAGAAAACACCGGGGAGAACCAGAGGACAGAGGGGATGGGAGGCTCCCTTGACATCAGTGCAGCTTTAGAAAGGTGCAGAGGTGCAAAACATACTCTGATTGTTGCAAATTTTGGAAATAGAGAAATGTGCAGAAGCCTGGGATAAAACACATTAAAAAGAACAGAAAGAGATACAGACGATTTAACAGGTCTTGGTTTATTTCTAAAAATGTGGATTTTGTTTAATTTCCCTGTCTCAGCTGCCAAAACTTCTAGCTTCAGATTATAAGTGCAAAGTGATTATTTGTGAAGTCATTAAGTAATGTGATTAGCACGACTCTTAAGCAGAGGTGCTGCCTTACACGCAATGATGGTGTGGCGCATTTTGCTGTACATCCCTGCATTTGGGTGTCTGAGGAGATGGCTGGTGAACAGTTCCTGTTCCAGGCTGTGAAGTGACTTAACACTTTATTCCATGGATGGAATAAAATCCTTCGTGGCGCTTCAACTTTGAAGGGTATCTTCAAACAAAAAGGGACTCAGAAAGGCAAAATGCTGTTACAGGAGAGCAAAGGCTGTTGAGACATTCTAGGACTTCATTTGCAGTTTTCCTGACTAGTAATCATGTACTAGCTACTGCTTCGTGTCTCAGAAAAGTGGAGGGGAAGGGAAACGAAGGGGAAGAGAAGGGAGGGGGAGGGAGGGGAGAGGAGGAGGAGGGACTGCCTGCTTTACTTTCTTTTTTTTCCTGCATGACCCTTCATGCTATTTGGTTCAGAACAAGATATAGTGATGGCTTTTTTCTCTCCATGCCTGTATCTATGTTGGTTTTGAAGACATTTTCTGGGGACAGCGTGTGGATGTCACACCTTCAGCTTTCCCTTCATACATGTACATGCTGCTCTTGAAAATGGCTAGCTTTTTACTAGCCTCCTACCAAACGATATGTAATTATGCAGAAATTACTCACAATCTTTGCTTGTGTTTTTCCTCTGCATGTAACGGTGTGCAGCACAGCAATTCAGCTTATTTAAAAATTCATCTTATTTACACAGCTAGGGAACACTCGAACACTTGCCTACTGAATGACATGCAATGGGTGGCTCTTATTTCTATGACTATTAACAACACTGTAAAGCATTATAGAAATACTGGGCATTATTATTATTTTAGAATGAGACAATTTAATTAAACTTGCAGCAGAATACACATCAACCCTCTTTTGCTATTGAATTTTCCCTCATTGTCTAAATGGTTGTTCAGTTACGCTTACATTACTTGTATTATTTGCATTTAGAATAATAATAATAATTAAAAAAAAAAAGGTGCACTTGGAATTCTGAACTGAATAATATTAATATTCCATGGAGGGAAGCAGGGGTGCTGTCAATTCTGTCTTTTCTTCCTTTTGTTGGGCTTAAACAATGCAGTGAATCTGGCAATTGTTTTGAGGCTGTGGTAATACTTTTGCAAAATGGGCAAATTTGAGGATAAGATCTTCTGTCTGCTCCTTAGGCTGGAGGTGAGATTTTTGATCTGGGTAAATCTATCTGCCTTAGATGTACACCTCTTTCCATTGTCAAAGCGTTGCTACTCACGTTGGGAGGGTAAGCTGTCTGTTGTCTGTTAAAACATATATTGTACATTTCAGACAGAAGCACTGTCTGAAAATCCTTATGGAAACTACAGCAGATCTACAGTCCCAAAAAACCTTGGATGTGAGAGCACCCGTCCTGTCAGTAGATGTGTGACAACCTACGTAGCATCAAGGTCTATGGCATTTATTTGAGATCTCTCATGTAAGACAGACATAGAAAATCTGTTCTCCATGCCAAATTAAATAACAGGTTAACTTGTTCTTTACATTTCTCTGGACCGTATTCTAACAAACAAACAGGAACAAAAAAACACTTTGCTTGGTTTGTGTTAAGCAACAACACTGAAATCACAAAGGAAAGAAGCACATTTGTATATCTCTGCTATCTCTTTGCACTTAGGCTGGTCACACTGGCCACAGGTAAGAAAGCTGTGTGCCTACCAGTTCAGCTACATGACAGCAGATGTTTAGGCAGCTCTACATCTACCCTGCCTTGTCTACCTCAATAGCCCTGGATGGATGTTCAGCTCCCTTCCCTCACCTGTACATTCAGCATCTCTCCATGAAAATATAACCCTGAGAAGAAAAAATCCAAAGAGCTTTTGTAATAAAAATGGCAGATCAATGTTAAAACTCTATTTGTTAGGAAAATGACTGCATTATATTGTGGCTTTGATTCAATAAAGTTGTGAATTAAAATGGTACTTCCTCACAGACTACACTGTGACCTCTGCCTGCTTTAGTTCACCAACCAATTAATCCACAGCAGTTTTTCTGCAGGTTTTATCACATTCTGTGTAGCCTGGTCTTACAATGATGTGGACACAGGCAGGCCAGACGTTGTCATTTGTGCAGCTCTCCCTAAATGTCCAGCCCTCACTGATAAGGTACCACACTTCCAGCACGGTGATACAGCATCCTGCTACATGGGTTTCAAGACGCATCTTGGGCTTTTAAAAAATTAAAACTTCAGCTTTTACTATAACCTTTTTTTTTGAAGGGATGAAAGATGGCTTCAAACATTCATAAGGTTACCTTCTCTGCAGTAAATTATGTGTAAATTATGCAAATGGTTTTTAATCTTGGTGGAAATCAGCTTGATGTCATAAAATGATGAAGAGGAATATTGTTCCAGTCCCAAGGAGCTTTTGCAGGTCATGAGCACAGTGACAACCTATTTGGTCTTTGCTCTGTCTAGGAATCAGTTACAGTTCCGTAAGATGGCAAAAAAATACATTCTATTTCTTCTCTCTTCGTCATGGATTGTAAATTTGATTAAATTGTCTTCACTTAGACACTCAAATTTTTCTTTCAAATGGAAAGATATTTCTGTTAGTGATGAATTCATTTAGCCCATTCATCAAGATACTTTTTCCAGCTCGTTGGTTTCTTTGTATTATTCCTTTACGCTAATCCTTCCCACTAACTCACATGTAAAATTAACAGGATCTTCCTGGGAGGATACCTGAGAAAATGGCTTCTTGTGATACTTAATAAGACTGCATTCTGCAGCAGGGAGAAGGCCCCTCATTTGGCAAAGCTGCACATTGTGCTGTCACTGTAGGACCACCTGGCCCATAGAGGTGCAGGCATAGCATCATGAGTTATTCCTCTGTTGTGATCTCTGTCTCACAACCAAAAGACAAATAACTCCATCACTGTCCTGTCAATGGGCACAAGAGATTGCCGTGGTTAATCTATAT